TCCCTACGGGGGGGGGTCCCAAATATCAGAATGATGATCGACCCTGCGACGTTGGCCAGCGCAGCCAGGGCTAATGTCGGCGAGGGAGGAGGTGCACGGACCCTTGTGGTTGAAGGCCCTCCCGACAAAGACAACGGCGGGTCGCCTGCAGACGAAGCTTAGGAGGAAAATGGCCCGATGGGCAATGGGCTGAGGATCCATTGTTCTGGGGAGAAGTTGTACTTGGCGCGCGGTGACGGCGTGGATGCTGACGCAAGTCCTGCAGCCGCGAATTTATCAATGCGCGCGAGCCCCCCGCCGACGCCTGACCATAAACAGCTCCGTCCTGAGGGGCAAGACCCTCCAGGCCGAGTTAGAAATGTCGCTCGCGCGACGTTGAATACCGAAGGGGAACCCTCGTATTTTGCTCCGCAGCAGCGAGAGAATGTTCGGGGGAATACGATCGATGAAGTGCGAAAGCAGGCTACTGAAGCCCACGGGGCTGGCCCAGTGCCTCCGCATATTACAGCTGCACGCGGGCGCGCCTATAATGCGATCAAAGACAGCGCACGCATGGCACAATATCCCACATTTGCAATGCATGGGGAAATAGAAGCAGATAGTTCTGAGCAAGCGCTCGAGTTTCTCAAGGCAGAGTTTGATCCGGATGACTGGCCAGACTTCCTTCCGCAGGAGGTCTATAACGCATTCGTCCCCCTGGCGCCGCCGAGCGACGCCACCGGCGCAGCCGAGGAAGCGGAGGCAAAGCTCGTAAAGAATAATCGCGGGGCTGCCATGCTGGGAAGTTCAGATTTCCGGCGGAAATGCAGCCACCGACCTCACTTACAATCGCAAGTTGCAGGTGAGCGCGCGGTGTACATGGCTAGAAATTGCGCTGAGTATGCCCGATGATCGGGCGGGTGGGTGTATATGGGTCACCTCGTCCAGAAGATGACGACATATGGTATCGCACACGCCACGACTGCTCTTGCAATACACGCCTTGACGATGATGCCGTCAGGAGATATCGATGTTCTCGGCATTCGAGCCGATGATATATTGATTATTGACGGAACGCAAATAAATGCGCACTGGCATTCTTTCCTGAACCCAGACACCTCACACGACACAGTCGCTGATGAGGAAAACGGGAATCTAGTCATCACTGTTGATAGAGCGGAACGGGCCACCAAGCCCATGCCACTGTTCTTTCGCGCGTGTCAGGGACATCCTTGTTTTGCTCACAGCATAGAGCGCATGCGTGCTCCTTGCGAGTTTGGGATGGCACGATGCCATGGACACTTCTTGCATGTTACTTCCTTGGAAGCCATGAGCGAGTCAACACTGGGAAACGGGAACATTGAGTGCCCGAACAAGCTCAGTGGATTGTGCAAAGCACCTGATTACGGCATTCTCAGATTGATACCAACGAAGCATGAGTTTCTTCCCGAGCACGCCAAGTACGTTCCCCACTGGCTCAGCCAGCGGAAGGACGGCGAGGCTCCACCCAACAGGGTTTATCCGGCTGAGGGCGCCGCTTCTATCGGCGGTGGACTACCCACTCGGGGACAGCGGCCTCGCGCAATTACCCCGTATTTCTGGGATCTTGATGCGACACGCAGCGAGAATTGGCAGTGCGTTGTCGTCTTCAACGGACTGGTACTGACCCGCCTTCGGCGTCGCATCTGTCGCGATGGGGCTCTTGTGACAACGGGTGAAGCACGTTCTAATGATATTTTTCGAATTGTGCAACTGTCGCCGGTTAAACAGGCTGGGGGAAATCGCGCGCCACCGTCTTGCGTGGAACTTGATCTTTTCACAAGAGTGGTCTGCGTGGGAGGTTGCCCTCTCGCCCAGCACAAACAGAACGTGGATTTTTTCTATCAAGGGGAGAGAACCGATCCAATATCGTTGCTTATAGACTAAAAGCAATGAGCAAGAGTTCCGCTGATGCTTTTGATACTTTGAGCAAGGTTGAACAGCATCAGCGCCAATGGTTTTTTAACGAGCCAGCCCGTCTCAAGGTGGCATCAGCTGGTGGTGCATTCATGTCTTCGATGCCAGGGGCTGTTCCTTCATGGCGCCCCAACAGTGCCTCGGCACAGCCGCCTGCGCGACGCGAGCTTGTCTTCCAGTACCTTGAACCCTTGAGGCTTAGATTCATTGGTTGGCTGATGCACAAGCATGGGGGCGATCGCCCCACGGCCGCCAAATGGTGGCCATATATTTGGACACCCGATCTGGACCAATATGCTCGCCCTATGAAGTGCTCTGCGCTGGCTGTGTTCGATTGGGGGCGTGTTAGCGCAGATCAAATCCAACCGGAGGTGGGCTGGCCCCGGTGGGAACAAGAGATGGAGGAGATCGGATTCGCTATTCCAGCAATGCAAGTGTTGACGGGGAGTTTCGAAGCAGCGAACCGAGCTTCCGCATTGACCAGGATAGGAGACATTGATTTTCAAACCGTTGTTGAACCTCATCACCGGCCAGGCCGCAGTGATGATGTAATCTTGCAACGTGAGCAGACGGCTGAGATGTCGAATGGCGTGTCCAACGAACACATCGCACAGCGACATCAAATGATTCGTCCGAATAGAGAGTTGCCCTTCTGGCTTGATTTGATTTTTTATTTCTGGCTCCATATGTGGTTATGACCACAACAATGCAACGTAGCACAGGCCAGATGTAACCAAGGTATCAACACAGTTTATCATTGAATACCTATCGGTTGAGCCAAATGCGACACCATTGGGTAAGGACACGATTCATGCCGTACCGCCAGGACTGCATGATCTTGTAGATTGGATTTGGGATCAAACGTTCGACCGTATCCCTACTCATGGAAGATGGGGGGAGATTTCTATTAGCTGTACGCGAGGTTATATTATTGTTCCTGGGCATGAGGCGCAGCGTACTTCGAGATCCGACTCACTCCAGCGGGATGCCTATGCTTTGGGTTGTCGGATCCGAACAGCAATCGAAACATTCGATTTGCTTCGTAGTTGGCTTGATGGATTTGGAAATGAGGTTCCGAAGACCGCGCGACAAAATTGCCCCGACATTCCCGAGACTATTGTCTTCATAAATATATTGAAAGAGCCCCAACAAAGTGCCATTATTTGTCTCGCTAACAGCTTCTTTGGAGTCTTCAAACCGATAGCGCCATTGGAATTATCCATCTTCTTGAGAAGAAAAAGGGGGAGAGCGGCACAGCCCACTTCCCCATTGAGACAGGCCAGGCTGGGTCGCCAGCAGGTGCCGCGGCCTCCATTGCTGAAGGCCTTGCCCCGCAGCGAGCTCGGCCGCGCCCTCGCCCGCCTTCGCGGCCGCGATTCTCGCGCCGGAAGCAGTCTTATCGCGCCGCTCCCCATTCGCCTGCGTCTGCTGGCGCAGCCGCGTCGGGCCGCGAGACTGGACGGGTCGGTTCCGCCAGAGTTCAAACGTGGGCGGACCAGGAATTCATACCCCAAAGACCGGCTGTTTCGCCGGGCGGCGGCCCCGCACGCGACGGCGATGGCGCTGGGCCGATCATGGGCGGCATCTACGACGCGACCGTAGACTTACGAAGACAAGAGCGAGACTTTAGAGATCCGAGGTTATCATGCACATGTTTCTCGACATCAGCCAGTCACTGGCCGCAGTGAAACGCGGCAATGGTTCAGTCCTGATGATTACAATGAGAGGTTCCATCGCTCTTCTGGAACGTCAAGTATTTTGCGAGCGCCCGCGCCTCCGCCCGCGCCGAAGGCGAGGTCGTCGGAGAAGGGCCGGGGCAAGAGTGAGCCTAGTGATTGGATCCCACCAAGTGACCGGGGCTCAAGAAGAGATTGGCGCCGGGAGGACTCTCGTGAGTCGAGGGGCCGCTGGAAAAGATGAAGAAGAAGATGAGCTGGATCCAGTGCGACACAGTCGTCGCTGGATCGCACTACTTTGTCGAGCGGGTGCGCAAGGTGTGCGCGGGCTTTGAGACCTGAGCTGCGATTGATAGCTCAGGCGGGAAACGTCGGGCTACTCCAGCCTTCCGCCCCCCGGCACCCACCGTCGAGCGGTGCAACTTTTCTTTTGGGGGTTCGCTCCGGTGGTTGTACATGTGCACAGGCCAGGTGGGTGAGGGGTCGGGGCGGCTCTACGTATCCCGCCGCGGGGGGAGTCAATGCGCCCCTCCGCGCCACCAGGTTCCTGCCCGTCTCACTCGTCCTGCTTGCGCCTCTCTGTCTGTTTCTCTTATTGCACTGTCTGCGTTTCTTCTTGTCTTGGGCGCTCTGCTCCCGCAACTGCCCTATTTGTTGCTCTGGGGTAGCGGATAAGGAGCGCGCTCGCGCGCGGCCGCGCGCGTCGGCCGGCGGGCCGGCCTCCTCCCTTCAGTGTTATCTCAATGCATGCTTAACGGCATTATCCTTTCTTGCCCATGTCTTCGGTGAAGCCCATTGATTACGAGACATCATCGGGACATATTGCACGGAATAATGAATATCCAGGCAAAAGATGTGGCAGATCCCGCATGCAGTTCCACCCCGTTTTCGGCGCACGCCTCAGACGCTTCGTGGCGCCATAATATGCTCCACCGACGGCCCCAGTGGCAGCGCCCGCATGCGGTCCCACCCTCAATTTCGGCGCAGCCCTCACACGTTTCGTGGCTCCAGTGAAAGCTCCCCCGATGGCCCCACTGACAGCGCCCGCGCGCGGTTCCAACCTGCGTTTCGGCGCACCCCTCACACGCTTCGCGGCCCCATGGCCCCATAGGGAAGTTCACCGAGGACGATGGCCACAATTGCGTTGCCGACAGCTGCAAATGGTTGGGCCTGGTCACAATGAAGATTTTCAATGGGCGGTCCGTGTAGTCCCGAGCTTTCCCCGGGGCCAGTTCTTCATCCTGGGCAATTGTGACGGTCTGGGGGCCCAGCGAAGGGCCCCAGTGGCCGAAAATGGCCAAACACCTTTCCTCACGACGCGAGCATGTCTTGGATGTCCTCACCCGCGAGTACGTTGTGTTCTTGTCGCGCACACGTGGCTACCCACAGGCGATGCCTTCTGGGTCTCCCACGCACGACCTCGACATGGCCATCCGCCCGAACTTGGAACGCTGTGCGGTGGCGCGCGACTCTCAGCAGGCTGAGCTCTGCCGACCATGCCTCGCGATCGGGGACAGGGGGTCGCCGATCTCTTGCCAGACCCCCGAGATCTGGGCGCTGCATTTGCTTTTCCCACCGGGCGTGTTCGCTTTTCTTCGGGCCCCAGGACACATATCGATCTGGCTCGAAAAATGCAGCGGGGAGATGGGGTCTAGCGTTCCAGTGGTGATTTCTGCGGTGTCCTTTTTTCCCGCAGCGTCGGATCTCAGGGCACAGTGCCAGGGGAACCACAAGACAGACAACGGCGACGGCATCATGAAATGCCGGAGAGAGGCCACGCCCTCTCCGACAGGGAGCCTTGAGACGGGGGCCAATGCAAACGGGGGCCAGCTTGAGCGCAGGATTCCTGCAGGATCCTGCATGGCCGGGGTTGCAAAAAAAAACACGGGCTTGCGCGCAGGATCCTGCTGGATCTTGCAGGATCCTGCACAGCGGCACAGCGCGACTGACCCGGGTCAGTAGACCCCCGATCCGAGCCAGCCGCAAGCCGACCTGCGGCCCGCCCTCCCACATTGGGCGGGGGCGCCTCGTGCTCGCCAGCTCGCCAGGCTCGCCCATCCGCCGTTCCTCCAGGGGCCTCCTGAGGTCCTTGGAAGCCTCCGCAAGCCATCTCCCGAAACTCCAAGCCCCAACAGGCCTTCAGCGCCCATCCTCTTGGGCCCCCGAGGCCCAAAAGCATCCAAAACCTTGAGCCGAGAGCGCTCAGAGGCCTAAATCTTCGAGCACCCCCAGAAAGGGCACCAAAGCGTCCGAAAACCCAGTCGGCCCATCGGCGTCGAGGCTCGCTCAGAGATCCGACGTTGCGACGAAAATAGCAACAGCTCGCAACATCACGACTGGAGCCCCAGACCCCATCTTCCCGAAGCATTTTTGGAGCCAGGTCGATCAGTGAGGGTCCCGCGGCCCGAAACCAGTCGAAAACGCCTAGTGCGAAACGAATGCCACGCCAGGATCTCAGGGCCGGGGCGAGCGGCCAGGCCTTCCGATCCGCAGTGCAGGGTGGTCCGCGCACGTGGGGTGGATCGGGCTGGATCGGATCGGTGTCGGGATCGGGCACGGCATCAGGATTGGAGCGCGGGTGTCGCCTTCTTGGTTGGACGCCTCGCATGCCTCTGGAGGGTTTGCGGACTTTGTGGCAGATTTTGGGACTCCGCGGGCCCCCAGAGACCTCTGGGGGCCTCTGGGGACCCAAGGAGGCGCCCAGGGACCCCTGCGGAACCCATGCTGCCTCGAGCGGATCCTTGGAAGGCGTTTGTGGGTAGAGTCATCGCTGCATCTTCTCTGGTCCGCTCTCGAATCAGTCCGCCTGTGCTGACGGAGGCTGGCACCCTTCAGGGGTCGCTCTGGATCAGCCGGGTCTGGGAGGCTCTTCTGAGGTATAGCTACAGCTTCGAGGTGCAGTCCCTCGAGCTGGCGCTGGTTCCTGTGGTCGGGGAGCCGTGGGCTGCTGGCCGTGGGAGGGCCGGGGCGGAAGGGCACGGGCACGGGTTGCTCCCTGCCCCCCTCGTTACCCGTCCCTGTCCCCCCCCCTTGAAGTGTTTTCGGGCGCTGCTCTTGTGACTCTGGCCAGGCCAGAGCAGTAAGCACGCATCTGGTTCGTGCAGGGCGAGAGCAAAGATAAGGGAGCGGCGTCGACGTGCCTGGGGACAATGTCTCGAAGAGGATTAGGCGGAGGAGCAGGATTAACATGACGCGTTACCACCGTCGTCGCACAGATCGGGGCGTCGATTGACTTAGTGAGCTTTCGCGCAGGTATCACAGGCTGGAGCCCCTACCACTGCATAGAACGCTTGGTCTTGGGGGCCCTGGTGTCTCCTCAGGCGTGAGTGCATTCAGTGGTGGGGCCACCAGTCTCGATTCCGCGTCTGAAGCTGGCCTTCAGTTGTGGGCGACGAACCCAGGCATGGACGCTGAGCCTGGGCCACTACAGGACTCCGCCAAGCCATCTGATTGTGTCTCGATGGCCTCGATGTTTCGATGCCGAGCTCAACATCGAAGCCGCGATAGATCTCTAAGCTGGCCCCCGTGTGTGGATATTGACTTGGGGCCGCTACCAGCGCCCTCCCGAGTCATCCGCTCGCTGAGAGACTCCAACTCGAACAGTAGCCGTGCTCCCTCCTCCAAGGTTGCGCCGAAAAACCCAAAGCCGGCGGACACAGCGCGCTTGCAGGCTTCCCGACGTCAGCATTGTGCTTCCACGCCCGCCTCGCCGAGCTGCACTGTTTGGAGGTGCCTGTCTCTTCCTTCCCCCCCGCCCCGCACTTGTGCCTGACTGGCAAGCGCTGGCCGTCCAGATCGTCACGACGTGTGCCCAGCGTGCAGCAGTCTTCAATGATACTTCTGGACGGTGCTGGTTTGGGGGTCGACGGAGCGCCTGCTGTGGGAAAGCAAGGGCGGCCGTGCCTGGAGAAGCCAGGCCGCCTCCGGGGACGCGGTGGTGGGGCTCTGCGGCCTGAGGCTCTCCTCGCACGGCAGCTGCCCCGCGAGCCGCCTCCACCAGGTGGCGCGGGCGCCTGCCTCCTCGCCTTGTGCTCCCTTCTCCTCCACTGGGCTCCCTCTCCGCCTTCTTCTCCTCCCCTTTTGTCCCTCCTCCCGTCTCTTCCTCGAAGCTCGGGGCTGCGGACTCGTCCGCCTCCTCCCTGGCCCACAACGCAGGGTCGTTGCGGGGAATCCATATCTCCTACCTGCTACCTCCTCCCGCCCGACCCCCGCTGGTACAGGTTGGACCTTTGAGGGTTGGGGTAATTGGGGGTTGCGGCGAGTGTGGTCCAGTTCTCTGCATCTTTATATGTTATATATTTGTATCATATGCATGCATATCTCTCTTTCTCACTTTCTCTCGGCCTCTGTGTGTATATACATGTACATATATGCATGCATGCGTGCGGACCCTAGTCACACCGACGGCGACGGCCTAAACATTTGTAAGTTTGCATAGACTAGCGTAGCCAGCCTCGATGTGTGCTGGGGTCTCTTCAAGCTTCTGCAGGACTGCGAAATCCAGGTGGTCGGTTTGCAGGAGACGCGACGCCCGCCACACAGTGCCAACACATCTGATGCGACGGTTCGTTCGTCCGGCAGAGGCGCATGGCAGCCAGCATGGGGCACTCCTACGATTGCGGCCAAGGCGGCCCGAAGAGATTTCGGTGGTAGCACATCTCACCACTACGTCGCCAACGGTGCTGTTCATAGAGGAATCGCGGTCTTGGCCCAGGGAGCCATGGTCGACACCGCCGACGGTTACCTGCACGTGGCTACCTCCCCGATGGGCGACAGGCGTGCCAAGGCCTGTGTTCCAATTTCGTATCCCAGCGGTAGACCAGCCTCCACTGGCGAGGCGTGCGTGTCCCTTCGTATTACGCCAAGGTTGGCCACGACAACGCTCTGATTATCCCGTCAAGCTTGTGAGGCGGCAGCGCGCGTCGGCAACGCCCCGCGCATAATTCGCATGGGCGCCGACGACATCGACTTTGTCAACTCGGAGTTTCTCCGCGGGCTGCGGCAAAGCGGCGGGCGCAATGCGGCGCAGGGGTTCGAGGGCGAGCACGCGCGTCGGGCGCGATGTCGATGGGGGCCGCCGAGCTTCGGACAGCTGCGCCAGTCGCGTCGACCATGCGTTATGCGACGCCACCGCGCGCACCCTGGTCGCGGGCTTCCGCTTTCTCCGCGATGTGCCCGCCAAGCAACGTGAGGACTTGCAGCTCGCTCACGACATCAACATGGCCTGGCAGCCTTCCAGGCGTCTGGTCGTATCAGTCCCTTGCCCAGCGGCGTCGGACACGGTCCCGCAGGAAAGCGGCGCGAGCTCGGGGAAACCATTGATGTTCCTATTCGGGCCTCTTCCTGGACCAGACGGACGCCGCTGGCGGCGCGAGCGACATTCTCCGCGTCGCCATTCACGCCGCGCGAGCCCGCAGCGCCGCACTACAAGGGAAAACTTGGCCGCCACCGCCCGACCAGCCGCGCCGCAATCAGTCGACGTTGCGCGGCCCGGCGCCGCGCCGCCAGCGGGTTCGCGACGTCGACGCGAGCGTCGCCTGGTACCTGCGGGCGCTCGAAGACGAGGACTGGCAAGTGCCCCGTCTGTCCTGGGCATCCTTACGGAGCCTCACGCACGGGCGAGGCCTGCGAGCCTGGCGCCGACGCGGCCCCCTCTCCGATCTAGACGCGGATGACGATGAGGGACGCCCAGTGGGCGAGTGCACATCAGCACGGGAGCGCCATCCTGGCTGATCCACTGGCGAAGTTGGGCGTCAATATACACGCCTGGGGGCCCACCCAGGGTCGCTACCGCGCTGGCGGAAACGCCGGGGAGGGCGCGCCTGCGCGGGGAGCATTCCGCCGCGAATATACCGCGGAGAGGCCGCCGCGTGTGGAGGCCTCCGCCTTCCTGCTGGAAGACGACGCCCTGGCCCACTCCATCCGCGCGCGGAGCCCCCCCGCGCGACGGGGGCGGATGGGTGGGCCGCCAGGGAGGCCAGAGCGCTCGTGGATGGTGTCCTTCGGCTCTTCGCCGGCGCCCTTCGCGCTGCTCGGCGCGCGGGGTGGGCCGCTGCGCGTCTCCAACCCCTGCCTCCGCAAAGGGGCGGGCAATCTCTCGACGGGCCAAAGGCGGCTGTGTGTCACTCCCGTGTGGGCGCACTCCTGGGGGCCCGGCGCGCCGCGCCCCGAGCCCCTAGCGGGCGCGCTGGGCCAGCGAGCGCCCGCCTGGCTCACCGCGTCGAGCGCGCCCGTTGCGCTGCTCTTCCCACAGGCAGACGTGCTTCGACTGCCCCAGCGCCGCCCGCGCGGGGCGCCCGCCCGACATCGCGGCCGCCGGGGGGGCCTTGCACGAGCAGCGCCAGCGGTGCATCCGAATGGCGGGGGCTAGTTCCCCCCTTCTTGCACGCGCCAGCGGCCGCCTGCAGGGGAGTTCCTGGTCGATCGACGAGATCGGGCTGCTCGTTTGAATTGTGGCGAGCAGGCCGCGCAGGTGATTTCCTCGCAGCGGCAACTCTACCGCCCCTCCGCCGAGACCATTCACTTCCGTGCGCTCTCGGGCCACCGGGTCCACCCGGGCAGACTTGGGGCGCGCGCTGTCGCTGACGATCTCCGCGTCGAGGTGGCGGGCCTGACCTTGCTGGGTGCGCCGACGCTCGTCGAGGCGTCATTCCTGTTTGTCGGCGCTTATTTCGAATCGGCGACAGACGCGGCCGCCGCGGACCTCAATCTGGCTGCGCGCGCGGCGCGCGGCCGCGCCAGGCGGTGCAACGTCTAGACTGGCATCTCGGCTGACACTCTCGCTGCGCCGACGATGCGCACGCGCTGTTCGGCACGGCCCTTGCCGGGCGCAGCAGCGACGCGCCCTTCCGCTGATTCGCCCTCCCCATGTGTCGGGGCGGCCCCCGGCGCGCGCGCGACGCTGCGGCCTGGTCGACGAGGGCCTTTGCCTTTCGATTTGCAGCGGGGCCCAAGTCACAACCTGCCGCGGCCGCGGCGCCGACGGCGATCCTGACGTCCGCCGCGACCGCGCGGGCCAGACACATGTCGCTCGCGGGTCAGCGCGGCCTCGGACGGGGCTTGCGCTCATCGGGCCCGCCCGCTCCTGGCTGGGGCAGGCTCAGGTGTTTTCTGCGGCGCCGGTCGCCGGCTCGACCGCGCCGATTGCCCGCGCGGCCTTGTGCCGAACGCCCGACGCGCCGAGGCCTGGGCATTCATGTCGGCGGCCGCGTGCGAAGCCCACCCCACCGCCCATTATTTTTAACGGGGAGGTGGGGTTAATTTCGCCCGGGAGGTTCCGAACCAAGTGAACCCCGCCTCCCCCGTTGAAAATCGCGTGGTGGCGGGGTAGGGTTCGAATGTGGCTTCCTATCTTGCACCTCGCTGCCGTTGCCGAAAGGCCGACCGGGCCGCGATCGACGGGCTCGCGGGCGCGTTGGAGGGCAGCTGGGGCCGGGGGCCGGCCCCGCTCGGGCGCGCAGCAGGCGGTGCGCCAGGCCGGCAGCCCCAAGGGCTTCGGCTGCACGCGCAGGGGGAAAACTGCCAGCCACCATGCAGGGCTCGTTTCTATTCCTCCGATTCGATTCGGTGTCGATGGCTTCCGACTCCGATTCGATTCGGCTTGGGATGCCGATGTGGATTCCGATTTCTCAATGGAGGCCTACTGTCCTGCCGATTTCCGCCGATTCCAGTTCTCCCGAATCGGCTGCCAATTCCCACCGATCCGATTCATTTCGATCGCCGATCCGACCTATCGATTCGATTATGGGCGCTCCTGCCTTGGGCAGGGCGGCGTCCACCAAGGCCGCGTCAGCGCCATGGCCGAGCGGTTCCTATCGCGGGGCCGACGCCAATGCGACAAAGGCCGTCCTCCTCCGCAACCTCCAGGCCGACGTCGCTGACACCGCCAAGTGGCGGCGCTAGTTCGCCGCCGTCCTGGGCCGAGTTGCGGGGCGCCGTGCGCCGCCGCTGCCTCGCCGACGGGGTGGCAACTTTGCGAAGGACCTCGCTGCCGCGCAGCCCCTTCGGTCTTGCGGGGTGCCTCGCAGCAGACCAGCGCGCGTCCTGGGACCTCGCGCAGGCCTACGAGGGCGCCCTCAGACGAAGTCAACGTCTTCGGCTCCGGCGACAGCCTCAACGGCCCCGCCGACGACGGCGAGCGGGTGCATCGATGCGTTTGGCCTCGACGGTGACCTGGGCGGCGACCGCGTGATTTCGATGTCACGCCGGGGCCGCGCGGCCGCGCGCCTTGCGCCGCGGCGCCAGCCCCGGCCCTCGCTGCGGCGCTGGCCTCGCCGGCGATGAGCGACGGCGCTCGCCCCCCGCCAGGCCGGCGGAGGCCAGGGCGCTCCCCCAGCTCGGCTCTGCCTCCAGCGCGCCCGCAAGGCTGCGGCCGCTCGGCCCCCGCTGGGGCGCCGGACACGGCGCGCCAGCGGCGACCGCGACGTCGTCTCCCGCGCGGTCGTGCCGCGCCGCCGCGGCGATTGCCGCCGACGGGCCGCTGCCGGGCGCGGCGCGAGACCGCGCTGCCGCTCTCGGGGCTCGCGCGGGGTCTCTGCTGGATTTCGCCTAGCGAAAACAACAGATCGAGCTCGCGGTCCTCGCGCACCCCACGCGGCGTTCCCTGCGCGCCCCGTCCGTTGCTTCGGGCCCCATCGAGGGCCTCCGGGTTCGCTCCTGCTGCTTCTGCCTCGGCCAGCGCGCCTGGCCCCGCAGCGATGTGCCCAGCCGAATGCAGTAGGGCCCCGCCGCGCAATTAAGCCGCGCTGACGCCTGCGCCTCGGCCTGACCACTCGGGCCGCCGCGCGCCCTCGGCGCCGCCGCTGGGCGGGGCCTTGTGGCGGGGGCCCAGAGCTGCCGCGCCCGGGGCTGGGGGGCCGGCCTCCCCCCACCAGGGCGGCGCGCCTCCCGCGGCGTGGCTGGGGCCGGGCCAGCGCCGAGGGCGACGGCGATCCTTTCGGCCTCGGAGATTCTCTCGACCAACGCGTCGACGGCGCTGTCCGCCTGCTCCGCCAAAAGTCG